CTTCTCCACAATCCTCCTCAGGGTCCGGTCACCTCTTCTCGTTGTGCAGCGTTTTCTGCCACACTTTTCCCTTCCCACAGACTTCCCACTGAGGTGCCTTGATACAGCACTCTGGGAACAGCCTATTCGTTCAGCAATTTCTTTCTGTGTCTTACCCTCTTGCTTGAGGGTGTCAATGATGGCCTTCTGGACAGCAGTCAGGTTGACAGTCTTACCCATGATTGCGGTTTTGAGTAATGAACAAGGCTGGGAGTTTTTAAAAGCCTCAGGAATCTTTTGCAGGTGTTTAGTTACGTCGTTGATTCAGATGGTTAGGTTAATAGCTTGTTTAGAGAACCTTTTCATGATATGCTAATTTTTTGGGACAGGCATTTTGGGTTTTCATGAGCTGTATGCCATAATCATCAGTATTAAAACAATTAAAGACCTGAAATATTTCAGTTGGTGTGCAATGAATCTAAAATATATGAAAGTTTCATTTTTATCATTACATTATGGAAAATAATGACCTTTATCACAATATGCTATTTTTTTTAGAAGGACCTGTAGATATACATATATGAGAGAGAGAGAATGAGAGAGAGTCTGGTAGACTAGACTAGTTATAGTCACAAATCGAAATATAAATCTGTATATCGCTTAATTTCGTAGTTACCATGCTCACAACATGCACGTATGAACAGATGGGTTTTTACAATTAACCCCACTTCACTCCACAACGTGGAACAACAAAACTTAAGTCCATTTACATTAACTGCACACTGAAAATAAATCTAATCCCTCCACAGCCACTGTTGTCTGACACTTTCCAGTCTACATTGTGTAGTAAAAGAAGCTACTGATGAAAGGATTTTTACTTCTTCATTTCGTTGGAGCAGCTTTCTTTTGACGGGTTTCTGACAAACACAACTACTTGAGGCTCATTTCCTGACCTTGACGGCCCAGATGGACTGCTCCAGCGGGTGAAAGAGTTTGAAACAGAAGCCATCCTTCTTGGAAGGCCTCTCGATCAGCTCGCAGGCGTTTAGCAGCACCGTTCCCACCCACTGCCCGTTCTTGTGAGTCTTATAGATGAGCAGGACACCAGGTTTCAGGACACACCACAACTTGGTCCAGCTTTTAAGAGTGCCACGGATCTGGAGACACAGGATATGCACAGATGAGCAGTGCAGAAAACTACAGAGGTGGATTACACAGTGAATATGGAGGAGGAGCACTCCACCTTCAGCCAGTCGGCCATGACGATGACAGAAGGATCTGTGATGGTGCTGAGCAGCTCCTTGGTGGCCCTCTTCTTCTCCTCTCTGTAGTTCTTCTTCTGCACCTGCAGGGAGCACAGGAGGATGAACAACAAAAAATCTGCACAACTCAGAATGCTCCTTTCTCACTCATGGGTTCTTTCTGTTCTTCAATGGCTCCTCGGTGTTTCTGATCAAATAACACCTTGCTGTAAGTGACACACCATTTGCATCGGATTTACCATTTCACTCGTGATATCTGCTGTTCAATTTGCACACTGAGGACATTACCAAACGATTTGAAAGAAAAAAATATTCAACATTTTGTGTCAAATAAATCGTACGCTAAGATAAGATTGTTTGGCAGGATTCCAAGATTGATCCACCTGGAATGAGTATTTTTAATGGCTTGTTATGCCTGCCCTGAGAATTAGCGTCCGGATACACAAGACTTAAGCTGCTTTAAAGCTCACATACCTTGAGGGACTCCTTCTTGGTGAGCTTTCCTCCAGATGCTGACACATCCTTGTCTGATCCATTGTACAGCTTGGTTTCAGACTGGGAACACAAACGAAGACAAAACATCCAATTGGAACATGTTTACACCTCCTGAAGTTCTCCGCTGTCTCCAAGTCAAGCTACAAAAACAACTTTCAGCTGTGTGACCTGAAGATCTCCACAAGGACTAAATGTCTGATCTGCAAAGTGTTTTCTTTCATCTTAATGATGAATAAAGAGAAGTGATTGAAACAAGACTCGTCTGTTTGACCTGGATTTTTCAATAGTAACTACCGTATTTTTCGCTCTACAAGTCGCAGGTTTTTTTGCATAATTTACATGCCCTGCGACATATAGGCCGAAGCTATTTATGGATTTTTTCCCCATATTTATAAACCAATGTTTGGCTGAGATATGACCGTTTTCATTCATTCTGAAAAAGAACAGTACCCCTTTCAGCCACTAGATGGCAGCAGGCATGACGTTGTATAATGTAACAGGTAAAAGTGGCTATAATGACAAATTCAAAAAGTTCAAGACAAAAATAACTGGACTTTATATATTATACTTTATACTTCATTGTTTTTGTCTTGAACTTTTTTTTTTAATTTACCGTGTTCTGGATGTCTGAGAATCTTCACCATCTATTAATGACACAATCGGCCTGCCATAGTCTTCTACCTTCGTTCTGCTCGCAAATGGAGCAACCGTCAAAACGGCTGCACCGCCCCGACAAAATGCAGCTAATTTGACCTTTAAAGTGCATTTATTAAGTAGAGGTTCAACTGAGACACATCTTTGCTATAATTTCGAGCAAACAAATAATTGTTTTAGGTGCGTTTCTTGTTACATTTCGAAGAAACGAACAGCGTTCCTCCTTCCTGATTTCCTCCCTGTGTGCGTGCTCCCGGAGCACCGAGGCAGCAAATACGTTTGAAATACAGCTGATTTGACTGTTAACGTCCTTTTATTAAGCAAATGTTAGCGTGAGACACACATTTACTATAAAGTCGAGCAAACAAATAATTGTTTTTAGGTGTTTATCTTGTTAAATTTCGAAGAAATGCAGAGGCTCATCCCTCTACGCGTTCCCGCCGCCTCTGCAAATTGGATACAGCTGATTTGATCATCAAAGTGGATTTATTAAGTAAAAGGTAGACTGAGACACACCTGTACTATAATTTCGAGCAAACAAAATTGTTTTTAGGTGTTAATTTTTTTAATTCTTGTTAAAGTCCTCGCATGTACGCTCCCGCGACCGCCATTTGGCAGCCCATCGATTTTTGGCCCACATTTCTGGGTTGTCAGCGGTGACGCATAATAGATGTGACATATACGGCGAAGTGACATATTTAGATATTTTTCAAGTTTTTTAGACATATTTGGACTGATGCGACTTATCGGGTGATGCGACATGTACGGCGGAAAATACAGTAGGGTAGGGCCATATTCTGACATTCTGTCATCAACGAGCATTAGTCCAACAACCAGGAAGTGTTGATGCAGGTGTGTTTAAACATGTTTTTGTTTCGTTTGTTTGAGATGGGGCGAACAAAGATATTCAGTTTTCTGTTTATGGTATCTTTAGTTTTAAAACAAGAAGTTACCAACAACAACAAAAAGAAACAGAGAAGAAATATACCAGATGTGTTTAACCAGCTCTGTGCTGATTTAAGGAGCTACAGGCAGCTTTTTATGCCCTTGTTGTAAAAGAACTTGAAGATTTTGATGACTGACACCTACAGGAAAATTTAAACAAGCAGTGTGCTGATGTCCCCTGTCGCTAAGGGATGTGAAAAGTGAATGTTTGAAGTTTTCGAGATGAATGTTTTTCTGGACTAGAATTAAAATAGAAATGAAAGAAAACTTTTTACATTTTTGGTGTGAATATTCAAGTGGATGGAGTTACATTGTGCAGAAGAACAGAGCGACAGATCCTTGAAAGTGTAGGGAGTAATTTTATCCACCACAAAGAACAATAGTGGAGCTAAGGGGTGACCAGTGGTGACCTTCAACACCATAGATTTATTTTCAGCCACCCCCAGGGCCACCCAAATCCTTTGAGGAAACTATAATTTTAAGAAATATAAAAACTACAAATCATGAATTCCTCAAATGATTGGGGTGATTGATTTACGTACGTAAGCACGCACACACGCACACACACAGACCCAAGTTTGCCTTTCTATTTTTACAGGGACTTTGCATTGACTTCCATTAATTTTTCATTCATTGACCCTGACCCTAAACCTAACCCCTAATCCACCAGCGGCACTGCTTCTTATGGGGTCTGGGCTTTGGGCCCCATAAGAAGCAGTTGGTCCTCACAGTGTAGTATATATTGGAAAAATGGGCCTTACAAAGTAACAAATACAAAGACACACACACATGGTGGTGGCCATTTTGGATTTTGACATCCATCCATTATCTTTACACGCTTTTTTCTTTTTGGGTCACTGGTGCTCATATCCAGCCATCACTGTGTGAGAGGTGGGGGACACCCTGGACAGGTCTCCAGTCCATCACAGGGACACATAGAGACAAACGAGACAAACAACCATTCACTCTCCATCCAGAAGGGTCCCCGACCAGGATTTGAACTGGTGACCTTCTTGTTGAGAGGCAACAGCTCTACCAACTGAGCCACTGGGCTGGAGGTCAAAACTCTTAAAAAGGGAAAATTACATTTGCTAAATTAAAGTGGAAAATTTTGTTCCTAATTAAAATCTAACAATGAACTCTAATTGTAAATGGACGACATATCCAACACCTAATCCTACTGGCAGCCCCCACTGTGTAACTAAAGACGTCTTTCCCTATCCCATGTGCCATTAGGAGTGATGGGAGAGATGTGTTTGTATAAGTGTGTGTGTAAGCATTGGATGGAGACAACAGAATAGAAAAACAATAAAACAATAATGTCCACAAATAAACCATTTTAAAGTCACGATCGGACATGGAAAAAGAAAATCGAGACTTTCAGATGACAGATTCAGACAGCCATATTTGCCCTGATGGACATATCTGATTGAAACCTTGAAAAATAAACTCTACAGGTCTCCTCCACACAGATTAATTGAAAGAAGCTCTGTGTTATGAACGATAACCGATAAATATTTGATGAAGGAACAGTGGATGAAATGTATTAATCACCTCGCTGCAGGCTTGCTTGTGGCTCAGGCAAGAAAAAAATATAGCAGTAGCCATATTATTTACTGGCTTTCATTAGAACCCACACATGAATCCCCTGAATCCCCCAGTTTTACCTTCACAGCTCTGACGCCACATCAAGTGATTAATCCTACCTTGCTCTTAGATATGGAGTTGGAGTCTTCTTTCAAAGGCAGAGGCAGGAGGTCCTCCTTCCCTCTCTCAAAACCTGGAACACAAAACATACAACATGAGGTTCAGCACATGAGTGTCTCTGTGTACTGAACATGTTAGTCAGCAGAGGACGACCATGATGTGGTTTCACACATATCTGCTTCTAAATACCACAAGGGGTACACCGATGACCCCGTCTCTGAGGGATTTGAAGAGTAAATGTTTGTAGTTTTCAAGATGAGTGTTTCTGGACTGGAATTGAACAGGGAACAAGTAACCCTTAATGCTTTAGATGCAAGATGTTCAAGTGGGACTTGCGACCTGTCCAGGGTGTACCCCGCCCCTCGCACAGTGATTGCTGGACATGGGCACCGGCGACCCCCGTGACCCAAAATGGAAGAAGCGGGTAAAAGATAATGGATGGATGTTCAAGTGGGTGGAGTTACACTGTGTGGAAAAACAGAAGTTGGTTTGTTTTTATTGCTTGTCTGTGTAGCCAATGGGGTCCTTGGTAACCATAGATTAATCTTTAGCCACCTCAAAAATTTCAGGAAACTATATTTTAAAGCAATACAAGAAATCATAAATTTTCCTCGAATATTAGGGGTTGTGGATTTACACACATACAAGCGCACACCCACATAGGCCTGTCGCAATAAACAGTAAATCAATTAATCGCATGATAAATGAAAATTATCAATCTCATTTTCATTTATCGGCTTTATCGTTTCTTCGTGTCTCTCTCTTTCTACTGAAGACACTGGATGAACAAAAGGTTCAATTCCGGTGCTCTTCACTGACCCCTCCATTTCTCTTTTATCTTTAAAATCCATTTTAACCGTCCAAAATTGCGTTTTTAGATTGTTAAAAGTAGCTAAGCTGAGAAGCTAAGCTATGAGCTAAGCTAACAGGCTGACCTCGTGAAAAAACCTCCGTCTTGTCGAAGCTCCAAAATTCACAGCTGAAACCCGTGACTTTGTCTAAAAAGTTGTTTTTCTCTGCAAAAAGAAGCTGAGAACTTGTTTACTGGTTTTTTGTTAAAAGCTTTGTGTGAAAAATGCTATGCTAAAGAGCCCAAACCACACGAGCATCTGCCATTTTGAGAACTGAAAAAAGGAAGGAGAGCGAAACAGCCCATGTCATGTCAAGGGGCCTCCCTCCCATTTTTCTTAAAGAGTCATGCTGCTTGCTCCCTCATTATCCATCCTTCAGTTCAAACTGTCTTATACTGCCATTCAGTGGTCAAAACCGGTACTACACACAAAAGTTAACCAACATTTCTTCTTAAATTTGACAACAATTACTAATTATTGTCAAATTTCAAACAATATTATCGTTTATCGCAATAATTTCTGAGAGAAAATCTGCTATTGTGACAGGCCTACACCCCCCCCCCCCCCCCCACACACACACACACATGTAAAACAGCATGTGGTTTATTTTAACTGATCTGTAAAATAAATAAAAAAAATCAACAGCAAATTCTCTTCAATCCTCCAACCTGCTAGTCATTAGCTAGGTGCCTCTCAAGCTAGCGAACATTTAGATAACCTAGCATAGGCTAATGCCTTGTAAAACTTTAGAATATAAAAAATGTAATATTGGATAATTTTCCTCAATAAATAAATAATCAAATATAATGTCTCATTTGTTAAACTGGGTTCTCTTTATCTACTTTTAGGACTTGTGTGAAAATTTGATGATGATTTAGGTAATTTTGATGCAGAAATATTGAAAATTATAAAGAGTTCACAAACTTTCAAGCACGCACACATACAAATATAATTTATTGAATTTCAATACTTCAAAAATGTTGCAATCCACTGAAAACCAAAAAAAGGTGTTTTCATCCGTAGCAAGAACTTTAAAAAAGTTATTTGAGAAGTTCTGAAGAACACACGGCAGTGATAAACGCTGAACACTTCATAAACAAATTATCCTAGATATAAAACATTAAAATTGCTATTATCAAGGTTCAAGGTTCTTTATTGTCATTTGCATCCATCACATGTGGTACATGAGGTGGAACAAAATTGTGTACTCAAGGTCCCAGTTACACCCAACAATAGCAAAAATGTAAAGTATAAAAAGAAACGGTATACAAGGATCTAAGATAATAATAATAATAATAATAATGTGTTATGTATTATCATTGTATGTTTCCATACAATGGCCAAATTGGCTCTCTGCATTTAACCCATCCACCACCAGGTGGAGCAGTGAGCAGCTATTGGAAGCACCTGGGGAGCAATTTGGGGATAGGGTGTGCTGCTCAGAGACACCACGAGATGCGCAATGACGGGGGATCGAACCTGTGACTTTCGGATCTTGAGTCGGCTGGCCTGCCTCTAAACCATCTCGGCCCCAAAGATATGTACTAAACAATAATAATGAAAAATTACACGGTGTATTAAACAGCAGCACGAACATGAGTCTGCTGTGAGCAGACTGGTATGAATAAAGCAGCTTAAATGCAATAAATCAGCAGCATGAATAATCAGCAGCACAGATAAAGTGACATATCACCAATTAAAGTGGCATTACAGTGATTTTTTTCTTTCCTTACAGTAATTATCCCGACATTATCCCTATGAAGATAAAACAGTCTCTAAAGTAGCGTGTAAGATTTGTATGTGTACAGTAAAATCCACATGCACATTACAAGTTTTATAAATGCATACTACATAAATTTACAAATGAATAAACAGTATTTCAATTGTACATATTTCAATTTGCATAAGAAGGAATATTCTGTGCATACAAATGGTCAAATACCTGAGCACAAATCACCTGCACAGTCAAAATGAGTGCATGGATCAGCAGCCTGTGAATGTAACTTTTGAGACTTTCATACTGCTCCAGATTCACAAAGATGATGGTGCGTTCAAGGCTGAGGAAAAACTGGGACATCTGACCATTACTTGATATACTGAATTATTGGAAAAAACTATTTTCTAACTTGGGACAATAGCTCATAACCCCATATATTAAAACACATATGCTTACATAAATTTACTGGATTGAAAATACATAAATTAAGGAATTAAAATACAAACCGGATTCCAAAAAAGTTGGGACACTAAACAAATTGTGAATAAAAACTGAATGCAATGATGTGGAGGTGCCAACATCTAATATTTTATTCAGAATAGAACACAAATCACAGATCAAAAGTTTAAACTGAGAGAATTAAACATTTTAAGGGAAAAATCTGTTGTTTCCAAATTTCATGACATCAACAAATCCCCAAAAAGTTGGGACAAGTCCATTTTTACCACTGTGTGGAATCCCCCCTTCTTCTTACAACACTCAACAGACGTCTGGGGACAGAGGAGACCAGTTTTTCAAGTTTAGAAATAGGAATGCTCTCCCATTCATGTCTAATACAGGCCTCTAACTGTTCAATCGTCTTGGGCCTTCTTTGTCGCACCTTCCTCTTTATGATGCGCCAAATGTTCTCTATAGGTGAAAGATCTGGACTGTAGGCTGGCCATTTCAGTACCTGGATCCTTCTCCTACGTAGCCATGATGTTGTGATTGCTGCAGAATGTGGTCTGGCATTATCGTGTTGAAAAATGCAGGGTCTTCCCTGAAAGAGATGACGTCTAGATGGGAGCATATGTTGTTCTAGAACCTGAACATAGTTCTCTGCATTAATGGTGCCTTTCCAGACATGCAAGCTGCGCATGCCACAAGAACTCATGCAAACCCATACCATCAGTGATGCAGGCTTCTGAACGGAGCGTTGATAACAACTTGGGCTATCCTTGTCCTCTCTGGTCCGGATGACATGGTGTCCCGGTGTTCCATAAAGAACTTCAAATCGTGACTTATCTGACCACAGAACAGTCTTCCATTTTGCCACACTCCATTTTAAATGACCCCTGGCCCAGTGCAAACGTCTGAGCTTGTGGAGCTTGCTTAGAAATGGCTTCCTCTTTGCACTGTAGAGTTTCAGCTGGCAACGGCGGATGGCACGGTGGATTGTGTTCACTGACAATGCCAGTGTCATCTATGTTATATTATGTTATATTACGAATAAAGTATTGACATTTGCCATCTCCACATCATTGCATTCAGTTTTTATTCACAATTTGTTTAGTGTCCCAACTTTTTTGGAATCCGGTTTGTAAAAGATCTTATTAAGCAAAACTGAAACGGATTAATCTTCATAATAAAAGCAAAACAGCCCCTTCCCCCACTCGCTCCCCAGCGACAATACACCAAAATTACAAAACTAAATTAATCACGAACAACCTGACTTTTTTTTCTTTAAATATAAAGTGAGACCTAATATTGTATAATTTTAATCTATATTAGAAGAAACCTCTCTGGGGGGAGCGATGGCGCAGAAGTTAGAGAAAGCGAGCTAGAGATCGGAAGGTCACCGGTTCCACCACCTGACCAGCATCAACAAACTGTGGGTGGGAAAGGTGAAGCACCCACACCTGCCTTCACCCTCATGTGCACCACTCTGGGCCCTTGAGCAATGCCCTGAACCCCCACCATCTGCTACTCCGGGCACCCTACAAGGCAGCTCTCTGCTCCACACAGAGGGCTGTGGTGGCATCAGGAAGGACATCCAGCGTACAAACAATCACCAAGTCTTTGTGCGAGTTAGTTCGCTGTGGAGACTCCTGAAGAAGAGAGCAGCCGAAAAAAATAAAAAATAAAAATGAGAAGAAACCTTTCTACAGTAGAAGGAAATTTGAAATTTATTTTAGTTAATTTGTATCCTAATTACAAAAAATAATTTCTCAAAACCATGCAACAGATTTCCTTCTGAGATCCCAGCAGCTGGTGACCCTGGTGGTTTTAAGAGGACAGAGAGCCTGTAAATATTTTATTACTGCTGTCTGTTAACCACAGGCCATCAGTATTCAGCTGTGAGACTGAAGGAGCACAGTGTTCTGATGCATGCTCAATAATCCAGGTAGATTAATCTAACGTTTCAACAAAGAAGGACCTGACTCTACCTTGTTAGAGCCACTGCACAGTTTTATTTCCAAATGCCACATTTGTAATCTGGACAAGAGTCTGTAGTAGAGAGAGAAA